AATCCACTACGCCATCATAGCGTGCCTAGCATAAACCAATCACACTGTGCGACACATACCATAGGAACCAAACTGACGCCTCTCTTGTATGTAAACCACATGGCTCTAGCTGTCTACAAGAGTGCTGGGGGATGTGATAGTTGTCCTCATTTTCGTTTGTATGATTGCGTTCAACACTCGATGAAAGCAGCGATACGTACACGTGCGTGCGTGTGTACGTACACGTGCGTGCGTGTGCATGTACACGGCTAACTACTAACGCTTATAACGAAAACAATGCCAAGCTATGACAAAAGAAGCGTCAAAGGCGCCGCCTGTCTGTGTAGTATGGTAATTATTTATTTATTTTTAGTTGAGTAGGCCCCCTAGTGCGTGTGCCCGTACACGTGCGTGCATGTGCACGTACAAGTGCGTGCGTGTGCACGTACAAGTGCGCACGGCATGTGGACGTACACGGCTAACTACGAACTCGCTTATAACGAAAACAATGCCAAGCTATGACAAAAAAATGTCAAAGGCGCCGCCTGTCTGTGTAGTATGGTAATTACTTATTTATTTTTAGTTGAGTAGTAATTTTATGTTTTCTCAATAAACTAATGCATGCTGCGGTATGCTGGAAACACCTCCGGAAATTTCGAGTGGTTTACGGCACCTCGTCAGCTCGTGTAAAGTTACGTAAAGGTTACGTAAATTTTAACTTGATGAATCGCACCTAAAACGGCCTCGCTTGCGTACGCGAAATCGTACGAAAATTTACTAAATAACTGCGTTGATAAATCGCAACTAAGCAACGTCGATTGCCGGATTGCGTACACAAGATTTACGCAAAATATTTTGCGTACGCAGCTTGATGAATCATGAATCTACCCCCTGGACCCAACCCGTCAGTGCAAGCGCACACGGTGTCAGAGTCTACAGTTCCCAGGGGTGTGTACAGAGGGGGGTCCAGGGGGTCCGGACCCCCCTTCGCGCAGAAAACGCATCTGAGGGGGTCTAATTTCAAAAATCGTGGTTGTAAGGGGTAATATCATAAACTATCTAATAGTTAAAAAAAAAAGGATTTTAGTATACACGTAAACTTGATGACTGGCAGAGTTTATTTGTCAGTAAATATATTACAAATGTTTTATATTTCAATTAAGTTAAATTTATCTGTTTTAATAATTGTTTTTATTTTATTTAGGGCCCTTTATAACATATACTACAGGCCCCGCACTAGCCTAACCCGCCCCTGGCGTGTGTGTGTTTGTGTGTGTGTTAACAACAGGGACATACATTCCCATATATTGTAATACGACGTAGGCCACAGGCACGTATTATTTTGACTCGTCACGTACGTAGCCCAGAAGTTACATAACCAATCTCCAACCATGGCTGTATTTATATGGTAACCTGATGGATAGAGCAAATCCTCTGATTGGTTAACAGTTCGGCTGCTGAAACCGGATTGGGCGCTTACATGCACATCGTTGCAATGCACACCCGCAGTTTTCGGTACCCGAACGCGCAACCGGTCTTTGTTAACTACTAGACGGGAAACGTAACGAACAATTTTCGCGCCAAAATGAGGTTCGTGCCTTCGGTTCAATATAACAAAAGATGCCTTTTGTCCAATATACTCCTAATAACGTGCCTGTCATCATAGTAGTAACGGTAGCAACCTCTATCAAGTTTGGTACCGTTGTAATATCAAGTTGGCTGTATTCCGCGTATTCATATTCAACAGTTCCTTTTTAGAGTTAATCTAATCAGTGACGTACAAATATATATCCTATCATAATAAAACACATAGCCATATACGTTGCCCGCATTGATCTAGGGATGTAGTTTTGGTAATATAGTCGTCCCAATGAATTTTCCCCAAATATTCTCGATTTTATCCTTTTACCTTGGTAACTGGCGCACGCATATTTGTTGCTCCATTTTAGACATGTATGTGACCTTATCTCTCCTGTACGTCTTATTAGCATATAAGATATATAATACTTTCGACAGCTGCATATAGTGCCAATATCACGTATGCTAGTAAGGTTGTGATTTCGTAAATTTGTTTAACAAAAATCTTCATTTCTTAAGAAGATTCAGTTCAGCAACCTTGTCAAATATTTTATAGACTTGTTAGTTTAACTCGTTTAATTTTATTTCTACTTATACAAATGTTTGTTTCACAAGTCGAAACTGTTAATCAACTTGTAAAACAATATATTATATTGTTATACAAATTTGCTAAAATACTTTTCCAGCATGATAACGTTACAAATTAGCCGCTGACAAACTAATTGTCATGATCACCAATATCAGTGCGACAAAATGTACTGGATAGAATCAGGAGTCTATCAATATTGATAGACACCTGATAGAATATATTCGAATGGAAATGGTGGGAAAACAGTGACTTTCCCCAACCATAAGTTTGTGTACACACCCTTTCCGGCTGACTGATCTTCTGTACTGCTATCGCGGCTGGGAGCGGGGTATAAATAGCCGCTCTTCTGCACGGGAGCGCATCATTCGTCAGTAAGACGCTAGAGAACCTTACCGCTCGCTATCATGTCTGGAAGAGGAAAGGGAGGAAAGGGACTTGGAAAGGGTGGCGCCAAGCGTCATCGCAAGGTGTTGCGTGACAACATCCAGGGAATCACCAAGCCTGCCATCCGTCGTCTTGCTCGCCGAGGTGGTGTGAAGCGTATCTCTGGCCTCATCTACGAAGAGACCCGCGGCGTCCTGAAAGTGTTCCTCGAGAACGTCATCCGTGATGCCGTCACCTACACCGAGCATGCCAAGAGGAAGACCGTCACACAAAATAAATATTAGAAACAAAATTACACAAAATTCGATTTAATTACATAGTGTGTAGAATATTTGACAAGGTTGCTTAAGTGAATCTTTTTGTAGTTAGAATTAACGAAGATTTTTGTTAAACAAATTTACGAAATTAATATCACAACTTTACTAGCATACGTGATATTGGCACTATATGAGAAGTAGATTATACTATCTACTATATGAGAAGTAGATTCTATTATCTACTTCTGACTATATGCAGCCGTCGAAAGTAGCGTATTGATCTTATATGCTAATAAGACGTGCAGGAGAGATAAGCTCATATACATGTCTAAAATGGAGCAACTAATAATTAAGCGTACACTGGTTACCAATGTAAAAGGATAAAATCGAGAATATTGGGGATAAATTCATTGGGACGACTATATTATCAAAATTATATCCATAGATCAATGCAGGCTACGTATATGGCTATGTGTTTTATTATGATAGGATATATATTTGTACGTCACTGATTAGATTAACTCTAAAAATCAACTGTTGAATTTGAATACGCGGAATACAGCCAACTTGATAATTATTACAACGGTGCCAAGCTTGATAGAGGTTGCTACAGTTAGTACTATGATAACAGGCACGTGATTAGGAGTATATTGGACAAAGGGCATCTTTTGCTATATTGAACCGAAGGCACGAACCTCATTTTGGCGCGAAAATTGTTCGTTACGTTTCCCGCCTAGTAGTTTACTCAGACCGGTTGCGTGTTCTGGTTAATTTGTTCGGGTACCGAACGCGGCGGGTGTGCATTGCAACGATGTCCATGTAAGCGACCAATCCGGTTTCAGCAGCCGAACTGTTAACCAATCAGAAGATTTGCTGTATCCATCAGGTTACCATATAAATACAGCCATGGTAAGAGACAGTATTTCGAGTTCGATTTCGTCCGTTACTAATACTATACAATAATGGCTCGTACCAAGCAGACAGCTCGTAAGTCAACGGGAGGCAAAGCTCCTAGGAAGCAGTTGGCGACGAAGGCAGCTCGTAAGAGTGCCCCGGCTACCGGAGGAGTGAAGAAACCTCATCAGTTTGCACCATGCACACCACACACTCGCTATGAGCGGTTGTTGAATCACCGACTGTTTTCAGTTTGCCCAATCTTGAGATTGGTCAGCCAAACTAGGGAATCCGCAGTTTGGGCAGCACAATCGCTGCACAATCTCGAGATTGTGCAGATTCCAAGTTTGGGTACGACAGATACAAGGAAGCGTTTTCCCGCCATCACAATCTAATTCGACGCCCCCATACATTTTAGCGCGATATCGCGAGCACAACACGCAATGTCTCGGACGGCTACCGTGTGGCCCTTGTAGTTAACCGTACATCAGTAAAACGTACATTTTACTTCATAGAGCCACTATATACGCATCTATAATTTAGACAATGACATGTCTGGAATAACCTTATTTTTGTTTCCGCCTCTTCTGTGCGGCAATGTAGATGGATAAGGATGTAAAAGGATAACTGAAAAAATTGATTTGAAGAATTTCTTTACATATTTTAAAAGCATAGCATAATTCTCAGTGACTGTATGAGTTTATATGCTTTATATGTGCAATCAACAATGCATAGAAAGCAAAATATTATTGAAGACAACTGTTTTTGGCCAGACAGTGCCAATATGTAAACAGTTAAATCTAAGCACAAACATGCGCCCATAGCACACAGCATATGAACCGTGGGCGGCAATGTAGATTTTTGGCCAGACAGTGCCAATATGTAAACAGTTAAATCTAAGCACAAACATGCGCCCATAGCACACAGCATATGAACCGTGGGCGGCAATGTAGATGTAAAAGGATAACTGAAAGAATTGATTGGAAGAATTTCTTTACATATTTTATGTATTATTAGCTCTTGCTATTATTTATAGCTTACATTTCATTTAACGCTGATGCCGATTTCATCCACACACATGCATGTACGCACACATACGCACACGCACACACACACACACACACACACACACACACACACACACACACACGCACACACTATGTGCATGGCGGCCAATATATTACCATAGTATATGATTTTGATTTATTTTATATAATGTCTGACTGCCCTTTCTGGCTACAAATATGTAGCGATATATACATCGGTGATAAGACTGGACACTGGAGGTGCTTACTACACTAACAGTTATCAGAGTGTAACACCGGGATACAATTGCTGTGTGAGTACACAGTATTAGACTATGCCCTCCTGATAACTAGAAACAACTATTAGCAGATAATACTTTGCTGTATTATATGGGATTCTTAAATACGATTGATTCTAAACAATGATATATCAATCGTAAATCATCAGCTCTCTTTAACGGGTGTTGTACGGTGTTGTACGTGTTGTACGGGTGGTGTACGGGTGTATAGAGGGGAGATAAACAGTAAGGCTTTGGCAGTAAATACTATTCGTGATTATTTGCTATCATATTGTTATTGAAACGCCCCAAGTGCTTGTGGATACAAGGAAGCGTTTTCCCGCCATCACAATCTAATGCGACGCCCCATACATTTCAGCGCGATCTCGCGAGCACAACACGCAATGTCTCGGACGGCTACCGTGTGGCCCTTGTAGTTAACCGTACACCAGCAAAACGTACATTTTACTTCATTGTGCCACTATAGACGCATCTATAATTTAGACAATGACATGTCTGGAATAACCTTATTTTTGTTTCCCCCTGTTCTAAAACAGTTAAATCTAAGCACAAACATGCGCCCAGAGCACACAGCATATGAACCGTGTGCGGCAATGTAGATGTAAAAGGATAACTGAAAGAATTGATTTGAAGAATTTCTTTACATATTTTAAAAGCATAGCATAATTCTCAGTGACTGTATGGGTTTATATGCTTTATATGTGCAATCAACAATGCATATAGAAAGCAAAATATTATTGAAGACAACTGTTTTTGGCCAGACAGTGCCAATATGTAATACTAAATATAAGAGCAATTAGAATAATGGTATTACAAGGTGTGATGAATATAGAATTATGTTCCCTCTTATAATAAACATTATTTTAATCGCGTAGTAACTAGTGTGAATATAACTGAAAGACAATTTGGCGTTTTAACTATACTGTAATTATATGCATGGAACCGTAGAAATAATATAGTAATTAGTCCCTGCATATATTTCAATACATGAAACCGATGTAACACTCACTTAAATTTACCATTCGCACATCAAACGTCTTTTTAAACACAGTTCTCCAAAACTTTCAGCCACCTCAGCGAATGCACACATTTCTGGTATGAGAAACAGCACTTAGGGATGACAGCTGACAGCTATATACTTCTACCAGTGGTTAATGTGAGGAACCCGAACCCTCTCTGAAATGGTGAGTTAGTGAGGGTCACCTGGTAAAATAAGGGGTTAACTACCGATCTCCATTTTCATACTCAGAATTCACAAGAGAGCACCACTTTAGCGTTAACTACTAGGCTACTTCTACACATTAGTAAAAAAAATAACGTTTTCCAACCCAAAGCTTAGGCTACACATTTCCGCATTAAATACTGACTTGAACTGTAACCTTACTAGGTATATTACCACTTAATATATAAATGTCAGGAATAAAAAGAAAATTTTTATTAGAGTTATTAACTTATATTATTAAATTAAATTGCAGTTGAAACAGAATAACACACCCGATTACAAATTAATGAGAGATTATTTAATAAAATACATGCATTAATGATCCTCATTAAAAGATCGTTCGCTTTAAATATCTTTGTTAGTTACATCCATTCCCAAACAGTCTTTAATAAAACAATTATATATTTCTGTATTGAAATGAGATCAAATAAAACACAATAATAGACCATTTAAATATGGGTGAGGCTAGCCAAGTGCATGCGTGTACTGGGTGACGTGTACTGAGGGACGTTTACCGGTACACGTGCACCAGGCGCAAGGGCAAGTGTGTAACGGAAAATTTCGCAATGTCAATCATACATGCATTTAGGAGTGACTATTCCAGTAAATGAAAAGCGAAGATTAATGTAGGGCGAGCACGACAAGTGCACGATGTAACATGTGAAATTACTACTACTACGTCGACCAAGGTGGGCATGATGCTTCCTTGAGTCGGGAAATTAGATAAAAATTAATCCAAATCTACGTACGCCCACAAAACGCTCCAGACCTGTCTATGAAGCATTCTGAGCAACAAAAGGAAGACCACGAATAAGTTCACATTATGAAAATACATGAGCGTTAGCACGCATATATAGCGGCTACTCTGCTCTGTTTCTGCTCTGTTTCTGCTACGGCTACTAGTCTGCTAACGCTAGCAATAAAACGCTGCCATTGCTTCTGTTTCCGGTAACACGTACTGCTTCTGCTACCCATAGAGATCATATTATGCAGTGTATAATAGGATATCTATGCTGCTACCAACAAATCTACTACTGCTTCTCTTGCTGTCGCCGCAAGTAATGTTTCTACTGCAGTGGCGGTAACGCTCAGTTCGTCTAATATAAGCATCGACAATAAATACATGGTAGATTGCATTCAATGCGCTAAACGATAACTACACACATTACTTACGCTCAAGGGGTCGTTGTCGTAACAGGTACTACAGATATGTACCCGAGGTACATATATGTATACAGAAAGTGTACCAGACTCGTACTACAGAAGTGTACCCTAAACCTAACACTAAACCTAACACTAACCCTAACCCTAACTCTAACCCTAACCCTAAACATAACTAATATAAAAATATAAACATAATATTAAACAACCTAAAACTACCTCGGGTACATATCTGTAGTACCTGTTACGACAACGACCCTTCGTGCATTACTTATATATATATATATATATATAATTAGTATAGATCACCGGGTCCGTAGGACTACTTCTTAAGCAACAACCTGATCATTTGACCCCTGGCTTTTTGACTCTGGACCTCTTATTTTGCTCATAGGGTCTATGTCCCCCAGGGTACTATCGGAGGGTACCCTGGGTACGGTTCGATATATCGGAACGTACCCTGGTAACTATCTGATATGATTAGGGTTAGGGCTAGGGTTAGGGAGTAGGCGTAGGCAACTCCCTAGACTCGTTAGTGGAGTAGGCGAGGTACGGTCCGGCATATTAGATAGTAACAGGGTACGTTCCGATATATTGAACCGTACCCAGGGTACCCTCCGATAGTACCCTGGGGGACATAGACCTTCTCAGCTTATGTTTGCATAACAGATCAATGATCATATTATATAAACAAACCGAGGTGATTAACTTCTTGAAATCAAGAAAAGTTTAGTCTGCCACTTGATGGTCAATTGGTCACTATACAACTACTCTTTACTTTTCAGTAAAAAGTACACTTCACAGCCTTTTTAATCGAGTTATAGAAAAATGTATGGCACAGTGCTGAACCAAAACCACACAAACAGTTTCTCACAAAGTATGCAAACAATATACACAAAAATACATAAACCTTATATTCCATATTATATGAATATTCCCTGACCTTTGGCCACTGACCTGCAGTTAGGATCTTGCAATATTTATTCAGACTGTGCTTAGCTTCTACATGCAAGACATAAAGATTGCATATCATAATCGTTAATGGATTAATAGACACTAGTGCCATTCTGCATTCACTCTCTGACTACATCATGTCAGGTAAACATTAAATAAATGAGCAAGTTACAGAGTAATACAAATTGAAAACCTATTTTCGTTGTTTACGAACGCGATACCCACCGCGGTGCGTGGTGCGTGGTCGCGGTGTTACGAACACGAAACAGAACTCGCAAACAAAACGAGTAAAAATACAAAATCCACGAAGTCCTACACCACAGAAACAAAAATGATTGTATCGTGCACTTATTATTAATATGTTTACCCCCCCAAATATTGGAAAATACTTAGACTATGTTATACCAGTATATTACTTTTGTATATACATCTGGAATAAAAGTGTACTCTTGTTTGTCGGGCCCTCAAACCAAGGGTATAGATTCGAATTAATTTGCCATAGCAGGAATAAATATAGAAACTAAACCAATAATACAGAAAAAAGAGAGTTGTTTTTCCCAAACGTACGATTGTCAGCCAATCATAATATTGAATCACAAATATATGCAAACCGATTGCCCAATGTGCTTGTAGGGATACTGCCTGACTGACTGCAAAACTATCCACATAACGTGCAATGTTCAATAAGCAACCTCCGCTTGGTATTTACACATAATGATTGTGACTCTCTATGTGTATGCTGAACTAGATAAATTGGCACCATTATACAAGATTGTAGCATTGCTGCATATTAGCTCTTGTGGTCTCTGACTGGTCACAACTTTCTGCAGAATACCTCATTTCCAAACCTAAAGAAACCTTTGCAAGATTGTATAATTCTGATTCAAATTTCTGCTTGCTACACAAAAAACTAAATATGTCAGTAACTTATACAACCAAACCAGATGTTTGTGTACATGTTCCATGTACACATTAATATCCTGTATATTCTGTACTGCTATACAGACGTTAACACACGTGGAAGCGTAGGAAGTCATACTGTCTCTATTATGATCTGTCTTTTGGGAGATGATATGGGTGAAAAACTACACTGTGAGTGTGAAACTCTTGACGATGAAGACATTGAACCATCACGAGGAAGAAGTTGACAGTTCGTCATTGTCTGCTGAAGCTCTGCCCGGGCCAACTTCAAAATCCATCCTGTCAGACCAACACTGATCAATATCTGAAACGGGCAACGTATGAAGTGAAACAATCATGTTGTCCTAGTTTTCTGGTTATAACCATTACAGTCGATACATTGTTAGAAAGCAATGAAAGGAAGCAGATAAAATTCAATAAAATAAATATCTACATCTTATGTTATAAAATAGACATATAAGCACGTTTATGCACCTTTTCCAGGCACATAGGTCAGCTTCACACACACACACGCACACGCACACGCACACACACACACACCTCCTCATGCACGCACGCACACACATGCATGCACGCACACACGCACGCGCGCATGTATATATGTTCTTAATTTAGCTAATTTCATACCTTTATTATTGGCCTATTCTGAATTGAAATCGGTTTATAGCTATTTACTGGGGTATTGCTGTAAATTGTATTCAAACACGGTGTTGTTTGGATGCTTTTCGGCATGTTGTTGTCACATCTACAGGCGTATTTTGTTGAGCGATACTAGTGACAACTGCTCCAATCTTCCGCATGCGACTCGGCAGGGATTCTAATGTTTTGATTTTGCGAGCGACAAACATCATCATTCATCAATCACTTCTTTCGTTAGTTTGCAATGCACCTATGGTCTAGTAAGACATATATATATTCGCTGCAATTACAATGCGATTGTGTGCGTATGGGCTTTAGTTACATGCATGCACGTACTATATGTTTAGAGAGCTCTTGGGTTTCTCAAATCCCTGCCGAGTCGCATGCGGAAGATTGGAGCAGTTGTCACTAGTATCGCTCAACAAAATACGCCTACATAAATGTGACGGTGACCACATGCCAAAAGCATCTGAATCAGTATCATGTTTGAATACAATTTACAGCAATACACCAGTAAATAGCTATAACCTGTTAACGTATAACTTCAGTCAGCTTTGAGAAAGCCTCCTGATAGGAGGCAAAACGTCAGCAGTACGTTTTGAATCTACACGGTCGAGTAAAAATTAACCAAGATAGATCAGCTATAACCCGATTTCAGTACAAGACCGGCGAATAATAAAGGTCCGAAATAAGCTCAATAACATATACATGTTACACATATACATACACATACATACACATACATTTGTTTTGATTTATGCCAAAATTTGAAGAACAAAATCAGTAAAAACGTGGGAAAATACATGTCAAACTCCTTTGAGATTATTTAATCCTGATATATTTATATACATTATGTTACTACAAAATGTTTTACACTGCACGACACTCACACTGAATGTTGTAAATTCTGAAATAGTCACAAACTGCCTTATGAAGTTTTACCTGTGCTATGAACACAATGTATGCCATTACATTGTTGGAATTGTCAGAGAATACATCTTCCATGGACCTTAGTGTCGAACCCATATAGACGTTGAGCGTTTGGGTCGGCAAAAGACCCAGGCATGTTGCCCCAATGTAGACTGGAGTACTGATCTTGCTGACCTGAAAATAAACATTATACCTTAACTTTATGTTCAAACAACAGCAACATCAACATCAACAACAAAATAATAAAACTTAGTGCCGCAGAGTTACAATGGCTGTCTGATGGGACTACTACTGCAGCATACTAATTCCAGAGTTATTGTTGCTGCTGCAGCCCCAACTGCTTGCTGCTATTGCTACTCTTTCGAAAGCAGTGCTAATAACGAAATCACATATAGAGCAGATTATCAGAATTGTGTCAAGTAATATACAGATCATTCGATTTTTTCCAATGGACCAAAATTTCTAGGAACAAATGACCCATTCAAGCATTTCATTCACTAAACTGTAATTAAATACGACATACAGAAGATATTTATCAACAATAACCTAGAACAAATTGAGCACAGATGCACATACAGACCCACTCATCCATGCACGGTGTAAATAAACATTATGAGCTCTATTTGGTTTAAAAGGAGATGCACCGACTACACCACACTTGATAAGAATTTGCTTTAAATGCAAAATTGCTGTGCGATACTATAACTATAAATATGCATGATTTTGCACTGAAACTGTTTCAAGGTGAACCTACTCCTTGAGGCAATATTCATATAGTCTTATAGCTAGGTTACACGAACTACCGTGACTGAGTAGATTTTAAGGTTATCTATCTTCACACTTTGGTCCATACTTATACTGATACAAGATAACGCTACAACTAGCGTGCATGGCACGTGCCAGAATTATACATGTGCTGTACTGAAGAAATGTAGTGTATTTATTATACAGAAATATTGAATACTACAAAATTCACATTTACCATATATCCAGGGATCATAAACATATGTATCTCCATATGTAGGAAACACATGTTCATGACGGTATTAATAAGGTAATCGAAAAAAATGCAATCGTGAACATGACATGAGTACTTTCACATAGTTGTTCACTGACATGAATGAAACCAGTGACCTTACACATCATTATGATATCTGAAGTAATAAAATAACTGAAATTCTACATAATACCCGGTACTGCATGACTTTCAAGACATTACTACTAGATCATTTAATGTGTCTATATCAATTATTTATTACTTACCGCAAATATGGCATTCTGCAACCCAAATGGTACAGGCGTGAGTCTTGCGAGAGCCACAACTTTGAATGCGTGTTTTCGCTCCACGATTGCAAGAATGGCATTAATGCTTACACTGTGCCCAACACACCTGTTGCGTATGATATCATAAAGCAGGTAACGCGTGATAAAGTGTGCCACTGGTACACCTACCATGCATGACAGCACAACCACAGTTAACCCATAAACGACACCATAGAGATAACCTGCACCGAGGTTGAGGAGTATATAGCCCCATGTCATTGGGAAAGCCACTATGGTAAAGAAAATTACAAATAAACAAACTGATGTGAAACTGTCTTGATCCTCAATCCATGTGAGAAATTGCTTGATATAATCACGAAATACCAAGAGAGCAACACACAGTAGAATGATTGCTATTGCAGACGTAACACAAAATTGAACGCAGCTGGTACTGTCATTCCCCTGAAAGATGTCGTTTTTACATGCCGATTGTGCATTGTTATTACAGTTTTTGACAACAGATTGTATATGCGCCTCACTGCACATATCACTTAATTCAACCAGATCAACACTAACAGATGACTCTGGTTGGTGAATAAATGAGCTGTGCCGCAACGAATAACTAGGCTTGTCATCCTGCAGCCTGAGATAAGTTAATTGATCGTCCGAAGAAGCCACGTCGGTTGTACTAATGTCACCATGTATCAAAGTGATTTGCGACTCTGATGGAATCATGACTGGTCGTGGCGACTGGTGGTAGAAACAGAGAACGTATGGCGCTGATCCTAGGCTAGTAGTACTACTACTAGTAGTAGTAGCATCACTACTAACTACTAGTAGTGGACGCAGCGCTATATCCACGTTCTCGCAAACACGATAAAAGTACGATGCATTGCTTAAATATTTCTATCTGTCTAGTCATCGATCTTTGTCACGATAACCGCGAACGAACCAAGGCAATTATGTAAACAAACTAATCAACAGTCCAGCATTAGATAAGTGAATGGTCTGAATCGCCAGGCGGCGCTGGTCCAAAGGATGATATTAAAATTATTATATTTTTCTGACTCAAAGAACGACCTTTGTATAGGCCCTATATACATTTCGCACAACTTGTTTAATAATGAAATAATGGTAAATTCCGTTATTTGCATGCATATTGTTCTACGGGTATTTTACTATTGCTGACCTTACATGCAAACGGAGTAAAATGATTCTTACGGTAGGTTGACCCCTAAGTTCCGCTTCCGGTTTTCGTCCAAGATAGATGTTCACGGTGGGTGATCTTTATCAAGTTTTTTTATAGATTAATTTTAAGTCCCGACGCAGTTATGATAAAGTATACAGTGCATAATATATTAGTGATGAGAAAAACCGCGCGATTTATTATAGAGACAATCTATAACGTCCTTTAAAGCGTATCACTTCGTCGTGTCCCAACCCCTGTAATTTGAGGGCGCTTTGGGGAGGATGGGTGGGTCCGTCACGTCATCGATTTTTCAGTGGTGGGCGAGGTCCGGTATCTCCACGAATTACTGACATAGCGTGATTTTTTGTTACAGCCGTCTTCCGTTTACACACATGCTAAGTTTTCATATATTATCAATAGATACACTACTAGTACTAGTCACTGCAACTTAAGTATGTCTATGCTTAGGCTACTACTCGTCTCAACAGCCAGGGGGCAGGGGTTCATGACGACCCAGTTCCCAGACCTCATACCTACTGTATCCTCCAGTCTACAGTAGACCCTGCACTGGATATTTATACTGAAATTCTTACAATGTACACAATTATATATATATATATTACCGGTACCTTGTTATCATCATTGCATAGATGTTTTTAACCTAGAAAGCTGATATGAAATTAAAAGAAATTTAAATTTTTCCAAATAATTAAAAAATTTAATATTTACCATTGAACCAAGAACTGTGATTAATTTAAACATTTCTATAGATTAATCAAGAACTAATAACAGAAGTGAGTAATTTGGAACACCTTTAATTAGGAAACCTACCATATCAAGTACAGCGTCTACCTGGGATTGCACTCGTGATGCTCAATTCATGGCAGCAAGTAGGACAGTTGTGACATGCTATCCACGAGATTGAGTCATGCTGAGATACATGCTTCCCTGTTGACTACACGTTCCTCCTCAGTGATGACAAATTATTATCACGAGTAAATTTAAAGGGATAATACACCGTAAAATGCTAGGGTATATTATGATAGTAAGTGCATAAATAATAGTATAATCCTACAAATTTCTATAATCATGCATCCGCATTTGTCGTAAAACAACAGTGAGTTTCGAAATATTTATTTTTGGCCAATGACATAACACCCTGCAATTGTGCTGGCACCCCGACGAAGCTGTGCTTTTGCTGGTTTATTTTGCACGTTACAGACCGAGGGCTAATCACAAAGTGCAATTATATTTATACCTAATTGTTATTTAACCAAACGATCTAAATACTACGTTGTTTATAAGCTATTGCAATCTTTCTCCTCTTGAATTAATAAATAAGAAACACCCTCATCAGTAGCCTGCAGCCGAAAATTGCGATTTACAATTTTGAAAGTTGATGCGCTAGTAGTGGCACCACCATCCAGTGTTCTGATTAGGAACCGGCCACCGGCCGAATTGACCGTCTACTCTGCTGTTTCGGCCAGTTACAATTGGCTCAAGTATGATATTAAAAAAATAAATGAATAAATAAACATTTATTTGCATTTAGTTTGCTCTAATTATTCTCCAAAGTGAAAGTGTTTTATGAGCTACTACTAATAAATCAGTTGAGTATATTTGTATGCATGTTATGTGCACAAGAAGCATTGTTTTGTTTTTGAGTAATGCTATTTACATGCTTAATTGTCTAACTCTTATAATTACTAAATCGTCATAATTTGGAAACTTTTGGTGAACTCTGAATGTACCAGGAGAAACCAAATTGGAAAAAGGACCATACTGTAATCCAAATGTGTCTGCTTACTGCAGCTCAGAATACACCAGATTGCATCTCAGAGCATCTAGGTTTAAAAAAAATAATTACCCCAAACCCCCTGCCCGCACTCCCCACGGCCTGTTGCAAAAGCATTTCGGCCTGTTACTATAAAAGATAATGAAAACCCTGCCATCATTGTAAGCAACGATATAGCCATTAGTTTTAAAACATTAAAAAAAAAATTCTAATGAATATTGAACAATGAAGTTTTTTTATTTAGTGTAATTTAAACCTATTTTAACAGAAAATACGCAAGCAACCTAGGGTCATGTGTCTCTTTAATGTTTCTTTTCCCCAAACCACGTAGATCTAGATTAATGTCTGCTGATACAGACTACCTTAAACTTATTCAGTATTATTACTGCTACCTGTTGATATATATATACATATTGTTACAGGCTTCTACTAATATAATGGTGGTATCAGGAGTAAGATAATATAGGATATCCTATATATAGGATATCCTATATTATCTTACTCCTGGTGTTATCAATACAACATAATATATTCTATGGTCTGTTATATACATCATGTAATCATTCACTGATATTAATGTACGAGGATTTGCACCCAGTAACATTGTGTATATTGAGGTATACCAGTTATTGGCAGCCATAAGCACTGGGTATCATGTGGCAGTAAAATATAGTTATTTCATGCACGGCCTGTTATATTTAGTGTCATGTTTATTTCATAATTTTGACCTACGTTAATACATACCAATCTATTGTAGTCATAGTTGAGCATGAATAAATTGTAAAGATGCTTTTTATGTCCTAATGCCTGTAGTACAGATACAATTCCTTATCCTGCTCTTATCTCAAGATGAAAGTAGTGTGCTGTTGTCCTATGTTCTACAGTTACTAGCCATGTATAGGTGGAGTCCAAACAAACCTTACCAGTTCGTACAAACAATACCAGAGCATGTAAAGAGTTATGGCGAACAAACCAGTCATAACAGGTCTCACGAGTTATTGAAGAAGCTCAAAATTGATCATGCATCGAGAATGTATATTAAATTGACTACGTCACGAATTTTCTACGGTGTATATTTGTAAAATTTTGTTGCAATTTTTTAGCTCAGCTGACGAAGTCAGATGCAGCTTGTAGAATCGCATGAATGTTCGTGCGTCCGTCCGTCCCTCCGTGCGTCAACAGTTACGGCACAAATCTTAACCGCTCGACATACGGTCTTGATATTCGAGACATCGGGGGAGGGGGGGTTGCGAAAAGGACTCGGGATGTCGAATTTGGGGGTCAAAAATCAAGATGTGTCAATGGAGGGGGAATATTTCCCCCTTAACTTAAGGTATAGGAGAAAATACGGAATTGCTGCACAAATTTCAACGGTTCGACCTACGCTCTTAATATTCGATGTATATAGTAATGGGGAGGAAACCCATCACCAGTGCGAAATTAGAGGTCACAGGTCAAAGGGCAGTGGGGGAAAGGTCAGATATCAGACATTTTCTGAGGACATGGTCTAACGGACCGAGTGCAAAACTTTTTTGTATCAGAGCTGACCTACCATTTTTTTTCACTTTATTGAAAGGACCATGAAATGCACTTTCCGCTGACGTACGAAGAGTAAGTGTGTGATAATTTTTTGACCCTTAAGAGGAGGGTTAAACATGGATTTGTTGACTGTTAACAAAGGACTGAACTGCTTTTGCTAAATTGTGGATGTGAGGCTACAGTTGCACAGTTCAATTGCAAAGGCAAATGTTTGTTGAACAAGGTTTACGCTCCTTAAATCATGTGCAGTCTGTATTAGCACCCTGAGTAGCACCCTATATTAGCACACTGTAATAGCACCCTGAATGCTCGCGTGGGTAGGCAAAAACACGGGGGCACGCATGGATGGGGGTGAAACTATTTTAATCATAATTATTGCCTGGCAACCTGCAATGCAGATGTGTTACCTCATTGTTGAGCGAAATTCTTGCCTGCCTGAATATACTTGGATTTTAGCCGGTAGGATTTCAGCAACTCAATGGAGTGAAGTTATCACGCACGAACGGCAATGCCATCTTTGATAATTGATGACATTTGCACGCGCCATCATGCGGCAACTGCTTTTGCTATTAGAGCCCCCTCCCCCCACCCTCCCTCTACCCTCCCCCCACCACCACCACTACGCTCGCACTCGACGCATATCCATGATAACATGTCTATGTATATGTATAGCGAAGTCATTAAAGTTACACAGCTGTATCTTTATTACTGTACTACCGGTATAGCAAAGCCTAGCTATCATAGATTTTAGTAGCCATCATGTATTAGTAGTATCCTAGATATATGCTCTGAGCGCGAACGCGGTGGCGGGAGGGCGCACTTGACTCGGTTGCCAGTGAGTTTATCAGAAGAATACCCGGCTACAGTACACCGTCAGTTGAGCGCTGTCGCTCTGCGGCACTTGTTTACATGAAAAGTAAGTGCTAATGGGACTAAATGTATCCTCAAATTCTTACCTGGTAAGATTGTTTCTCAACTAGTTAAAAATTCAAATCAAATCCAATTCACATGGAACGGAATAGCAAAAATAGGAAGTATAATGCAGCAATTTAACCATAAAAAGTGAACAGAATCACTCACATTTTGTGAAAAAGTGGATATTATTTTTTACTTTTACTATTTACAGTGACGTAATCACTTTTTAAGCGGTTGTGGTATAATCATAGAGGAGCAATACATTAATCACAGTGGCTATATGCCCGGCAGCCGGGCACGGTCTTCGTTTTCCTAAATGCCCGGCAGTTCTTAACCCTAACTCTAACCCTAACCCTAAACCTAACAAAAACCCTAACTCTAGCCCTAAACCTAGCCCTAACCCTAACCCTAAACCTAACAAAAACCCTAACTCTAGCCCTAAACCTAGCCCTAA